TTTTCCTTGGTTTACTAAGGCGTATGAGTAATGGAATATATGAACTTTCGACAGTAAAGAGAAAAAGTTTTCAAACAACTGTGCAAAAACACAAATAATAACAGCCAAGCTGATTATCCAGACTGCTCAAGCTGGAAGAAATAGTTTACCATTTATTAACATTTGATCTTCACTGTAAATTGTAATACTGGTCTTTCATAAGACCTTTTCAATTATAGGAAAAAATGTAAAATGTATAAATATACACAAAAATATATAAATGTGCCATAACCTACTGCATGTATAAATATATACAGATGTAATCATTCGTTCATAGATACATACATACATATTTATATGTACATAACATTTAGTTGAGTTCACTTTTAATGAAAATAAATATCAGCTGTAGTTCGTTTGCTATTGCTTGTCTAATATTACATTTATCTACATTTAACTATAAAACATTTGAAATAAAATAACAGAAATTATTTTAAGGAAATTTTCATTTCCAACTAAATTGTATATTTACACGTACATATTTATGTATGCAAATGTCTGTTTGGCATTTCTAGTTACTTGCACAGTTGTATATCTTGTATCTTTGTATCATTTTTTTCTTCTGTTATAAATTTCCATACATGAATATGTAACTAACTAATGTAATGTATACTTATATACATAGATGTAAAGATATACTTACATATAAACTTATGCACTTAAACACATTTAACATGCTGTAAATAGATATTTTTTTAGTATTTTATAGCTTTTATAGAATATTTTACTCTTCTAGTTGAAATTTAATAATATTTTGTTGAAAAAATTAAGTTTTGAGAAAAAGAAACGACTTAAATGAAATTCTTACTAATTGTTAACCCGACCCAAGCAATGAGTTTCGGTTGTGTTGCTTTTAGTTTGAAAAACTGCTGAAAAAACAAGTTTGGTTTTAGTTTAAAAATACCAGCAAAAGTTTTTAATCAATATTATTTAAATGTTTAATAAATTTTTGGAAAAAAAGTAAGAAACCATTTTGTTGTAGATTTTCTCAAAAACATATATTCATTGTAAGTACAAGTCACCGAGTTTTTGCTAGGAATATATAGTATAAGATTTATTTCAGTTAACATATAAAATTAGTGACAAACAACTTAAGAATGAAATTCGGAATTTTTTAAAATTAAAGAAAAAAATATTAAATAAGTAATATTTATATATTAAGCTTCTCCGAATCCTATATTTTCTTCTAATATAATTTTCTGAATTAAAAATATATAGTCTATAGGCCAATCTATAGTCCAGTCTATAGTATAGTCTATAGCCTAGTCTAGTCTATAGTCTAGTCTATAGTCTAGTCTAGTCTATAGTCTAGTCTAGTCTATAGTCTAGTCTAGTCTATAGTCTAGTCTATAGTCTAGTCTATAGTCTAGTCTATAGTCTAGTCTAGTCTATAGTTTAGTCTATAGTCTAGTCTATAGTCTAGTCTATAGTCTAGTCTATAGTCTAGTCTATAGTCTAGTCTATAGTCTAGTCTATATCTAGTCTTAGTCTGTCTATAGTCTAGTCTATAGTCTAGTCTATAGTCTAGTCTATAGTCTAGTCTATAGTCTAGTCTATAGTCTAGTCTATAGTCTAGTCTATAGTCTAGTCTATAGTCTAGTCTATAGTTCTAGTCTATAGTCTAGTCTAGTCTATAGTCTATCTATAGTCAGTCTATAGTCTAGTCTATAGTCTAGTCTATAGTCTAGTCTATAGTCTAGTCTATAGTCTAGTCTATAGTCTAGTCTATAGTCTAGTCTATAGTCTAGTCTATAGTATAGTCTATAGTCTAGTCTATAGTATAGTCTATAGTCTAGTCTATAGTCTAGTTTATAGTCTAGTCTATAGTCTAGTTTATAGTCTAGTCTATAGTCTAGTCTATAGTCCAGTCTATAGTCTAGTCTATAGTCCTAGTCTATAGTCTATCGTCTATTCTATAGTCTAGTCTATAGTCTAGTCTATAGTCTAGTCTTAATAGTCTAGTCTATAGTCCATGTCTACTAGTCTAGTCTATAGTCTAGTCTATAGTCTAGTCTATAGTCTAGTCTATAGTCCTAGTCTATAGTCTAGTCTATAGTCTAGTCTATAGTCTAGTCTATAGTCTAGTCTATAGTCTAGTCTATAGTCTAGTCTATAGTCTAGTCTATAGTCTAGTCTATAGTCTAGTCTATAGTCTAGTCTATAGGTCTAGTCTATAGTCTAGTCTATAGTCTAGTCTATAGTCTAGTCTATAGTCTAGTCTATATTCTAGTCTATAGTCTAGTCCTATAGTCTAGTCTATAGTCTCAGTCTATAGTCTAGTCTATAGTCTAGTCTATAGTCTAGTCTATAGTCTATCTATAGTCTAGTCTATAGTCTAGTCTATAGTCTAGTCTATAGTCTAGTCTATAGTCTAGTTCTATAGTCTAGTCTATAGTCTAGTCTATAGTCTAGTCTATAGTCTAGTCTATAGTCTAGTCTATAGTCTAGTCTATAGTCTAGTCTATAGTCTAGTCTATAGTCTAGTCATAGTCTAGTCTATAGTCTAGTCTATAGTCTAGTCTATAGTCTAGTCTATAGTCTAGCTATAGTCTAGTCTATAGTCTAGTCTATAGTCTAGTCTATAGTCTAGTCTATAGTCTAGTCTATAGTCTAGTCTATATTCTAGTCTATAGTCTAGTCTATAGTCTAGTCTATAGTCTAGTCTATAGTCTAGTCTATAGTCTAGTCTATAGTCTAGTCTATAGTCTAGTCTATAGTCTAGTCTATAGTCTAGTCTATAGTCTAGTCTATAGTCTAGTCTATACTAGTCTATAGTCTAGTCTATAGTCTAGTCTATAGTCTAGTCTATAGTCTAGTCTATAGTCTAGTCTATAGTCTAGTCTATAGTCTAGTCTATAGTCTAGTCTATAGTCTAGTCTATAGTCTAGTCTATAGTCTAGTCTATAGTCTAGTCTATAGTCTAGTCTATAGTCTAGCATAGTCTAGTCTATAGTCTAGTCTATAGTCTAGTCTATAGTCTATAGTCTAGTCTATAGTCTAGTCTATAGTCTAGTCTATAGTCTAGTCTAGCTAGTCTATAGTCTAGTCTATAGTCTAGTCTATAGTCTAGTCTATAGTCTAGTCTATAGTCTAGTCTATAGTCTAGTCTATAGTCTAGTCTATAGTCTAGTCTATAGTCTAGTCTATAGTCTAGTCTATAGTCTAGTCTATAGTCTAGTCTATAGTCTAGTCTATAGTCTAGTCTATAGTCTAGTCTATAGTCTAGTCTATAGTCTAGTCTATAGTCTAGTCTTAGTCTAGTCTATAGTCTAGTCTATAGTCTAGTCTATAGTCTAGTTATAGTCTAATCTATAGTCTAGTCTATAGTCTAGTCTATAGTCTAGTCTATAGTCTAGTCTATAGTTAGTCTATAGTCTAGTCTATAGTCTAGTCTATAGTCTAGTCTATAGTCTAGTCCTATAGTTCTAGTCTATAGTCTAGTTATAGTCTAGTCTATAGTCTAGTCTCTAGTCTAGTCTATAGTCTAGTCTATAGTCTAGTCTATAGTCTAGTCTATAGTCTAGTCTATAGTCTAGTCTATTAGTTCTAGTCTATAGTCTAGTCTATAGTCTAGTCTATAGTCTAGTCTATAGTCTAGTCTATAGTCTAGTCTATATAGTAGTCTAGTCTATAGTCTAGCTATAGTCTAGTCTATGTCTAGTCGCATACAGTTCTAGTCTATAGTCTAGTCTTAGTCTTAGTCTATATAGTTAGTCTAAGTCTAGTCTATAGTCTAGTCTATAGTCTCAGTCTATAGTCTGTCTATAGTCTAGTCTATAGTCTAGTCTATAGTCTAGTCTATAGTCTAGTCTATAGTCTACTATAGTTAGTCTATAAGTAATATCTCGTTATGTGGCTCTAGTCTAGTGCTATGTCATCTATAGTCTAGCTATAGTCAGTCATAGTTGTTATGTCTAGTCTATGTTAGTCTTAGTTGTAAGTCTAGTGAGTTTGGTCATTGTCTAGTCAAGTCTCTGTGTTTCTATAGTCTACAATTAGTCTGTCTCAATTTATTCTATTTGAGGTTCAAAGCATCTGTGTTTATTTACAAATATAAGTAAGTACTCAAAGCTTTCTTCGGTAAGTAGTGAATACAAAAAAAAAAAACTTTTATATTTTATCATGACAGTTTTTTCATAAGCATAACTCTTCTTCTTTATAGGTTGCAGTACAAACTTTGTAATTTGTATCTTTGTAAAGATATATTGCTGCTCAGCTGACAAACTGTATGTTGATGAGTATACCCATCAGGTGAAAAGTCAGCTACAGTTCTCACTTATTACTTCTTTAATACATGAATAAGAATAAGCAAATATGTACATTCAAGTCTTCAGAACTAAAGGGTATATACAGTGATTTATCACCAGTGCAAACATAGCATTTAGCTAAACAATTGTTGTTAAACTTAACCATATCTTTTGAATAAAAAGTAAGCGAGTTTTGGTACAAATGCTAAAACATTTGCAAAATGGGTATATTAAAAAGGAAATAGTACAACAACTCACCAAAAATTAATAACTGTCATCGCAAATGTATAGTTTTTTCGCGCAATAATTTTAAATAATTTTCGTTTAAATTTTAACTTTTTATAATTCAGTAAAGTTTTGCAATATTTACGGTTTTAACTTATGTAATAATGAGTAAAAAATAAAAGTAAAAAACTAAGTTATATAAAATATTGGATTCATATTTCTGCTGTTAAACTACTGCAGACCACTTACATTAGGAAGTAAAGTCAGGAGTTTTTAATGGATCTATAACTACACTAGATTAATCTACTCATAAATTCCATCGGCAAAGCGAATAACAAAATTCACAATATTTCCTAGGCTCTTAATAGCGAAATATTCTACTGAATCAGTTTAAAAAACTGTTTGTATATAAATAACAATCACTTCGTTAGTTCTAGTTTCCTTTTACTTTTTATTATTTATCTATGTATGTATGTTAATATTTTTATCAGTATGTATATGTTTTCGCACAATTATGACAACACACGGAAGTCCGCTTGCATTTATAACAAAAAGTATAAAATTTATAACAAAAAAATATATATATATCAGCAAAACTTTTCTTGTAAACGGACACACAGAGCATTTCCAGAAAACAATTTAATTACGTAAAACATTTTATAAATTTGATACATTCAATTTTAAAGTTTAAACACCCAACTTAATTTGAATGATCACGTTCGGCTGATGATGAAGATGAAGCAGAAGATGATGATGAGGAAACTACTAGTTTAGGTTTTATATCCATATCATCATCATATTTGTCTTTAATTAAAACAGCCCTAGAGAACTGCACATCCAAATTGAGAGGTTTGGGATCCTCTATTTCTACAATAGTAGTTTTATCTATAATTTTAGCAACAGTTTTTCGGCGTTCATGTACACTAGATTCAGGTTTGGTGGCTATTACCTCATACGCGGGTGTTTTCAAATGAGTATCGGTGAAATCATAACCCGGATCTTTGACACTTTCTTTCTCCCTCTCTCGCAGTCTCATTAGTTTTATAAAGTCAGACTTTTTCTTTAACTGTTTGGCTTGGGAACGTTTTAAGCGATAAAAGTCTTCTCTTTCAAATTCATCCAATTCATCACGTATATAGGTTACAGTATTCTGATATCTAGGCAGAACCACATATTCTAAACCATTAACACGCATATTATTTTGTTTTACAGCTTCTTGTATGGCATTAACGGAATATTCCAAAGAAGCCACTGTCACCAATATTTTAAGAGCTTCTTGAAATTTTTCACGTACTATTTGTACTTGCTGACCTCCTCCTGAAAGTCCAGTAAAATGTAAGGCATTTGTTTGTCTTAACATCAATTCCAATGTAGGTACTTGCATTCCCACAATTTTTGTATTTTTAAGGCGTAAATAGGTATCCGCCCTATCGGGATTTATAATAGAGGCCGGCTTGAAATCTGTGCACAAAAATTTGGCTTTTGCGATTGAAAATATGGCATCTTGCATTACACCTTCCAATTTTTGACGACTTACTTTTAATTCAGCCGCAAGTTGTCTTAAATGAATTTCGAGAGCATCACGTTTCCGCTTCAGGAGACTTAAGCCTTTTTGGGCGCCCACAATGCGCTGTTTCATTAGAACAAAATTTGCTCTAGAGGGAAAAATAGTAATACGATCGCGACCGGACATTTTGCTGTCGTTTATGAATAATTTATGCACAAAATAAAATATAAAATAATACAATAAAAGGGTGTGACGAATCATTCGAAGCCTACATGGAACAAAACAAAGAATAGAACTGAACTAGAACTGAACTAGAACTGAACTAGAACTGAACTAGAACTGAACTAGAACTGAACTAGAACTGAACTAGAACTGAACTAGAACTGAACTAGAACTGAACTAGAGCTGAACTAGAACTGAACTAGAACTGAACTAGAACTGAACTAGAACTGAACTAGAACTGAACTAGAACTAGAACTGAACTAGAACTGAACTAGAACTGAACTAGAACTGAACTAGAACTGAACTAGAACTGAACTAGAACTGAACTAGAACTGAACTAGAACTGAACTAGAACTGAACTAGAACTGAACTAGAACTGAACTAGAACTGAACTAGAACTGAACTAGAACTGAACTAGAACTGAACTAGAACTGAACTAGAACTGAACTAGAACTGAACTAGAACTGAACTAGAACTGAACTAGAACTGAACTAGAACTGAACTAGAACTGAACTAGAACTGAACTAGAACTGAACTAGAACTGAACTAGAACTGAACTAGAACTGAACTAGAACTGAACTAGAACTGAACTAGAACTGAACTAGAACTGAACTAGAACTGAACTAGAACTGAACTAGAACTGAACTAGAACTGAACTAGAACTGAACTAGAACTGAACTAGAACTGAACTAGAACTGAACTAGAACTGAACTAGAACTGAACTAGAACTGAACTAGAACTGAACTAGAACTGAACTAGAACTGAACTAGAACTGAACTAGAACTGAACTAGAACTGAACTAGAACTGAACTAGAACTGAACTAGAACTGAACTAGAACTGAACTAGAACTGAACTAGAACTGAACTAGAACTGAACTAGAACTGAACTAGAACTGAACTAGAACTGAACTAGAACTGAACTAGAACTGAACTAGAACTGAACTAGAACTGAACTAGAACTGAACTAGAACTGAACTAGAACTGAACTAGAACTGAACTAGAACTGAACTAGAACTGAACTAGAACTGAACTAGAACTGAACTAGAACTGAACTAGAACTGAACTAGAACTGAACTAGAACTGAACTAGAACTGAACTAGAACTGAACTAGAACTGAACTAGAACTGAACTAGAACTGAACTAGAACTGAACTAGAACTGAACTAGAACTGAACTAGAACTGAACTAGAACTGAACTAGAACTGAATTAGAACTGAACTAGATCTGAACTAGAACTGAATTAGATCTGAACTAGAACTGAACTAGAACTGAATTAGAACTGAACTAGATCTGAACTAGAACTGAATTAGATCTGAACTAGAACGTTATTGTCCTTCATAACAATTCCTTTCGTTCGATAGATATTTATCATTTTCAATGGCTGACAGCGCAGCGTATAATTAATATTTATTTGATTCTATTAGACGTATAATTAATGCGTGTTAAATCAAAGTAATTAATAAACAATTAAAATTATATTATTGATTTATTATTGTAATTACTACATTTTTATCAAACATATTCTCACTTATCACTTAAAAGAGTGTGAGTATGTAGAATTAATCGTAGAATAAATTACTGTGAAATTCAATGAATATGCCCTGAATGTATTTTAGTATTATTTTTTATCAAACCAATATTTAATTAATGTATTTTAGTATTACTTTTAAACAAACCAATATTTATTTTCCCTTATTGCCGTGAAACTTACAAAAGAATGAAATCAATAATGACATTTTAGTTGTTGCTACTATTTTGTTGTTGTTGTGCTTTTATGGATTTAACCTTAAATGAAAAATTAAAAATTATAGTCTGTTAACAGTGATGGCGGTAGTTAGGTTTTGTTATGACCTTGACATTTTGACATCTTTACCTTGTTTTGGTTTAATCTTCTTTTGTTGCACCTCCTTTCCTCAGTTTTTGCACTGTTTGCCGATTGTATTATTTGTCTACCAGAATAGCGTCTGTGTGTGTGAGTCTATGTCCTCGAATTTTTACTACTACCATTACCATTACAAAAAAAAAAAAAACTGAAAATTGAAATAAAAAAAAAACTTGAAAAACTAATGTCATGTGTTTATTCGTTCAGTCGTTCGTTCATTTTTTGTATTCATTCCTTCATTATTAACACGGTGAAAATAACTGAAGAACAAATAATAAAAATTTATAAAAGTTTTTTAAATCAGATGAGCAGGAGGTTTATGAAGACATGGCAAAAGCTGGGAAGGAACAAGGAATAAACATGTACAAAACATATTTTTGCTATTACCAACCAACTAACATTTCTCACTCTTATAACTAAAACCAACTGAAACAATAGTATGCAACTTTCGTATTCGGCATTTTCGTTGTAAGTATGTTAACGACTAAAACAGCAACAATAAGAAATTTAATGTTGCTACGAAAAAAAAACAACAAAGAAATAATATACAATTATTTTACCAACACAATGCATATGAAAACAATGCAAAATAGAAGGGAAGAGGCATGTGATGTGATGAGGGAAGGAATTCTGAGAGAACATATAAGAAATAACAGACATATGTATGTGTGCATGTTTATAGCAATATGTCTGCAGTAGAGTAAACAATATATTTCATTGTTTCAATGTATGTTGGTTGGTTTGTATGTCAGAGAACAGAAGTATCACTACTAGTCCATTGTTAATAGTTGAAGCATAACTTGTTAGTTAGTTGTTGTTGCAAAAAAGAATTCTATGTAAATAATTGTGGTATTTTTATGTATTTATATACATACATTTGTATACATATAAGTATAGATCTATATGTGTTTACATGTGGTTGCTATAATAGCAGCAGTGTTAGTCATAAAGCTTTAACTAACAAAATTTGTTGGCTTGAAAATTTCTTTAATGTTAGTTGTGCAACTATATTCATGCACACTTACGCTCATACACAAATATAATAAAATATTTAAAATTAAATTTACATTAAAATAACCAAATTATATATTTTTTCACTCAATAAAATTTCATGTTTAATTCCAACCAAATGTACGAAATATTTTTCCACCAAAAAACCATATTAATTAACCACAGTATTATGCGAATGTGCGGGTGGTTTTCTCTAATTGAATTTAAATGGAAAATTTATTCATTAGTAGATTTTTAAATAATCCTACAAAAAAAAAAAAAAATATTTCACAAACTTGTATAACGTGATTTTAAATTATAATTAGTGGAAAATAATAAACAACTTTTAGCTGAAATTTAAGTAAAAAATATTTTATTTAAAAATCATTTTCAGATAATAGACATTTAATCTAGAAATCCATTCATTACTAAATTATCTTTGAAACAAGTTAAACAATGGAATAGCAATAGATTTTTGTAATACTAATTCAAAAAAACATATTTGTAATTTTCCGTAGTTATGACAGACAACAGTGCGTATAATTAATATTTATTTGAATTAAATAGTAATACGTCACGTTGGTTATAGAAAATATTACTTATGAAAATATTGATATCTTCTATAACATATCGATATTTTGGTCGGCGACCTATAAAAGTGTATTAATTAAATTTTTTAACTGAAATTTAATTTAAAACATTTTTATTTAAAAATAATTTTCAGATAATAGAAATTATCTTTGAAACAAGTAAAGCAATAGAATAGCAATAGGCCTTTGTAATACTAATTTAAAAAAATATTTAAATTCATAATTTTCCTTAATAATTGCAGACAACACTGCATAATATTTATTTGGTTAAATTGAGGTTCAAAAAATAACTTTAACGTTCATAAATGTAACAATTAGAAATATAGCCATGACATAAACAAGGTTTATGGAAAGGACAGCTGCACTTTTTTCTGGTTCTAGTTAGTGGTAATCTCTTCGCTTTTAGGATTTGATTCCTCAACAATACCTGTAGTGATTCTGTGGGAACCGTCTTAGTTATTCTAGTATCATTGTGGGGCCTTTTTTTAACAGCCCTTCCATTCGGCACCTTCGCAATTTTGAACATGACAGCTTTTTTCACTGCCAGTTCAGCATTTTAGCTTCCAGGAATTTCCAATATACACTCATTAGCCAATCTACTACCCCATCCTTTTATGTAGACAGTGGACTTTAAGAGCACCGGAAGATCCCTTCCTTCTTCACCAGTCCCAACTTAGTGCCGTCCTGGGGAAGGGAGATACTTTCCAGCAAGTTCTTCAGGGTGACAGTCAGTTCTTCAGGGTGACATTGGTCAGATACGAACCTCATCAACATCACACCAATGCTGCACTCGCAGCTCACGCGCTCTATTGGTTGTTTATCCTTTGAAGCGATTGCATGGTCCACTATCTTACCCTTATTCTTGAGGTTCATTTAAATGTGATATGGTTTGGCTTCGACTATATATTAGGAGACAGGGAACTCGTTTTCTTCTTAAGTTTATTCTCAATTGTCAACTCCTCGGGAGATTTGATCCTATTTGCCTCAGATATTGAGAGAGAATTCGATTTTCCCTTTGGAGTGGCGTGAGATTGTCTCACTATGAGTTCTTGAGGCATCTTCTTTCTATTCCTGCTCTGTGCAATGCTATCTTTTGCACAGAACACCATTTGCTCTATTTCATCCTTTTTGAGATTAGTTAATATTATCTGAGGATTCAGATTCGGAATCTCACCTACCTATTACATCCTTATCTTTCATCCCCATGTTTTTACCAATGGCATGATGTATTGGTACTTGACGGATTTTTCTCCTCTATAGTAGTTTATATTTAGTGTTTTCACAACAATACAAAGCACATGAATTTTTAATATTTAAGTCAAATATACAAGATATTTTTCATAGCTTGTTGTTACAGTTTTCCAAGTAATATCCTTACACAGACTACACAAGGTAAGTGTCAATATTTTATTTCAAATTTTCGAAATAAAAATCAAATAGTACACACAAACTTACTTGTATAAAAGTTTTTTGTTTTGGTGTCATTGTTACAAAAGGAAGTAAATATCATCTTTAGTATTATTTCCAAAAAAATAATACATTGACAAAGAATATGCACCTGAAAAAATA